CACACACACACACACACACACACACACACACACACACACACACACACCAAGTATAAAGAATAAGATGTCATGAGTTTGAGGAGAGGAAAAAGCATGAGAAAAAAATGGAGGAAGGAAAAGAGAACTGTTATAAACACAGTGTTCATATATTAATTTCTCAGTTATTATTATTTTTTTTTTCTGAATGTTTCTTATCTCAGGAAAAGACAGGAATCCAGGCCCAACTGCCAACATTCTAATCCTTGGGGTTATTACCTGATAGCAACAGTAGTATAATACAAAACATTTACTGCACCTATGTTTCTTTCTTTTTTAAATATGGAACGCTTCATGAATTGGCGTGTCTTTGCACAGGGCCATGCTAATCTTCGCTGTACCATTTCAGATTTAGTATGTGTCCTGCCAAAGCAAGCACTACACCTACTTTTAAAATGTTACCATTTTCAAAGCACTGACTGCTTTCCTGACTTACATGTGAGTGAACTGAGTGACTTTCTTAAAATGGATGACTGGGAAAAATAGGAACTAAGTGGTTCCATGTTATTAGGATGAGTCAGAAATAACAGCTAGCCCTTTCTCCTTTAGCTCTTTCCTCTAGGAGGAACAAAGTACTTACTAAGAACTTTCTGCAGTATAACATAGATAAAAAAGAAACGCTATGGGTTTGACAAGCTGCTTGTGTAGAAATTCAAGTAATCTTTTTTCTTCCCTTTTAAAATAAGCTACTAATTTAGAGTAATCAGAAATAAATTTTCATTCACTCTAGTTACTAACAGCAATGTCTGTATTCTTTTCAATATTTTATTCAGCTATAAATCAAGACAGTATAGGTAATTTACACTGGATAAAACCTAGCTCTATACCAAGCTTAGTAAACGTAACAGCTGGAAATACCCGCACAGTAAGCGGTGAAGTGGTAGTTCAGGGCCCCCGGAGCACTTTAGCTGTCTGTATACTCCACTCAGCATAACCACACCTATGCCAAGCTTCTAGTACACACTCAGCAACCCTCCTCCTTGTTCCTCAACGCTCAACCTTAGTTTGCCTCTGCAGCCACTCTTTTCCGTTCCCTAAGGCCCTGAGATGTTCAATGAGCCATTCTCACTTAACAGTAATGCTGTGATCTCAGCCTTTGTTTAAAAACGATTGTTCTAACAATTACCAACCAAATCAAATGTAACAGGTAAAACACACTAATTTCTTTTTAGTCAATGTCATTTTCTTAATCTATTTCTACTTGGTTTTTTATTTATTTGTTTTTAGAATGTGGTCACTTGAATTAGTGTTTACTTTTCTCAAAATAGCCCCTTGGCTTAGGATCTGTATTTTCTAGTTCTAAAACCTCTACAGATGCAGGATAATTCAACCTACAATAGCAATATCAACCAAACAACCCTGGCTTTACTGAAGTAACTAGAAACAGCCACACACACAAAAACAAAAAATTTCCTTTAACATCTTTCAACAAAATTTGTAGTGCTTGAAGCCAAGTACTTTTCCTAAAAACAATAAAGAAGCATAAGAACACACAACCTACTAAATTTAGTCATCAATTTGTTCACCCAGATAAATTTTCCCTCACATACTCATTTATCCATTAATACACATTGGCATATCCAGCCATTTCAGGAAAGTCTCTATTGATCTAGTACATTCTACATTCCCTAGCGTTGGCTAAAAATACATTTTATCCATAAGAAGCAGATGGCTCTGTCTTCTGTACCCCCTTTTCCTCCCATTACGTTACTTAGGAAGTATGTGTGACATTTTTTAAGACCAAATTTTAAATATCACCTGCCTTTTCAACATGTATGACTTGGCTAAATGGAAAATAGAGTTTGAACTCTTCTCCTTTATTCCAGACAGGTTTAAAGTTCATGCTAACAATTCTAAAAATAATTATCCTTCTATTTTAATGTTCATAAGAAATGGTAAAACTGAGGAAAAAGACTGGCTGAGATCGTCTTTTAAACCTCTGTTCACTGCCCATCGCTTTCCAGAAGACCAGTTCACAAGCTGTCCAAGCTCCAAAGGACACAGCCATTTAGGCAGCACTGTGAGGAACCCAAAATGCCTTAGAAAGCAATCCAGGCTTTACTTGCTGTCTGCTTACTTGATTTCCAGTCTCCTTCACTGTAAGGCTCTTGAACTACTTTGAAAACTCCAAGTATATTAAAAACCTTCAAATAGAACTAACCTGTCTCCAAATAGAATCAGCATATATGAACTCCTAGCAGAAAACACCTATCGGAAACCTAAATGCAATGTAACTTTAAAATAGAAAATGTATTAATTTATATGTTAAAAGAATAATTTCAATCCAACTTGAAGAACTATAAAATATTATTTTCATTTAGCTAGTATCAGTTTTAAAATAATTAAGTCTCCAGATGGAGCTGATAGGCAGCTCAGATTCCATGTACGTTACCTAGTAAGGGGACCAGGGGCTGTCTCTGATATAAAATCTGTTGCTTGCTCTTTGATCACTTCCCCTGGGCAAGGTGGCCTGGCCTGGCCACAGAGAAAGAGGATTTAGTTAGTCCTAAAGAGACCTGACAGCCTGGGGTCAGTTGATAAGTGAGGAGGGCATGGGGGGATAGGAAGGAAGAGGCAGGGAGGGTGGAACCAGGAGGAGATCAGGGAGTAGGCCACCATTAGGATGTAAAAATAAATAAATTAATGAAAACGTAAAAAGAATAATCAAGTCTCTGGGTTATTATTTTTGTTTGGCTCTTTCACTGTTATGGATGTGTAGGGTTCTAGATTTGTCTCTAGGGCTTGTGAATGACAGGGAGTTGCCATACCACAGTCTAACTTCAACACTTAAAAAATAATTTCCTTGCCCGCCAGTTGACCATCAGGCTCAGCATGTTTTGATAGTCTGCAGGGCAGAGGCTTTCAGATGCCCTCTGTGGCAGGTTCCTAGGTTGTTTCCTGTTTTCTTCTTCTGGCTTTCAGAGGCTCTCTGTAGCAGGTTCCTAGGTTGTTTCCTGTTTTCTTTTTTCTTCTGATGTCCATCCTCTTTGCCTTTCAGGATGGGGATTGAGCGTTTTAGTTAGGGTCCTCTCTTTTGCTTAGTTGGTTTAGATGTACCGATTTTAGTGTGTTTATCCTATGTTGTATGTTTATATGAGTGAGTATATACCGTGTGTGTCTTTTTGTTTCTGGGACAACTCACTCAGGATGATCCTTTCCAGGTCCCACCATTTACCTGCAAATTTCATGATTTCCTTATTTTTCATTGCTGAGTAATACACGCGGGCAGAGTGAATGGAATTTTATGTAAGAAGTGGGAAATAGCAAGAGCTGGAGAGGACAGGAACTCCACAAGGAGAGCAACAGAACAAGAAAATTTGAACACAGGGAACTTCCCAAAGACTCATACTCCAACCAAGGACTATTCATGGAGATAACCTAGAACCCCTGCACAGATGTAGCCCCTGACAGTTCAGTGTCCAAGTGGCTTACATAGTGATGGGAAGACGGACTGCCTGTGACATAAACTGATGGGCCTGCCCTTTGATCACCTCCCCCCTGAGGAGGGAGTAGCCTTACCAGGCCACAGAAGAAGACAATGTAGCCATTCCTGATGTGATCTGATAGACTAAGATCAGAAGGAAGGAGAGGAGGACCTCTCCTATCAGTGGACGTGGGGAGAAGCATGATAGAAGAAAGGGGAGGTAGGGTGGAATTGGAAGGGGAGGAGGGAGGGGCTTATGGGGGGATACAAAATGAATAAAGTGTAATTAATAATAATAAAAGAAAAAAATAATAATAATTTTCTTTTTAATTTTGAGACAAGGCTTCTGGTGGAGTTGACCAGGATGGTGAGTCTACTCTGTAGCCCAAACAGGCTTTAAGTTTTCTCTCCTGCCTCAGCATCCCACGTTAGTTGGGATTACAGGCCTGTGCCATTAAGCCCAGCTTCAAATATTATTGTTCTTTGTTTTAAATGTTACTCTGATCTCAGTAAAATCAAAACAAAACAAAACTCAGTAACTTTTGTTCTAGAATGGTTCTAAATCAACTACCTCTGGGCTGAGTTGTCCTTTTAAAAGAAATCTGTTTCTAGTAATGCAGTCTTAACAGTATATGAGTAAAGTTAATATTGTTTTTTGTTATTTGAGTTTATGAAGTATTTGCAAAGTTATATATGAGAAACTAGCCCAATTTTTCAGTATCAGACTTTGAAATGCAAAATAAAATACTTATTTTCTCAATGTTATGGATCAAACAAAAGCCTGTGTGGAGACTGGATGGACCATTCACCACACCCACTGTGCTAAGCAGTCATGAGGTCTTTCCACCACAGGCTCAGAAAACATGAGAGCTTGTGAAGCTTTCGCAGTGTCAGTGTTTTTAGTGGGGAGTCTCTGACCTCCTTTCTGGCCTACCTACACTTTTTGAAGTAGATGATAATGTTGCCTTCAAATAGCCTAGGCAGACTTCAAAATATAACTGTAGAGCCATGTTTTCCTAACCCTAAAATAGCCATCAAGAGGCCTAACAAGAAACTAACGCTTGAGTTACTCCATGAAAAATGTTGGTATTACTGTACATGTGGTCAGTGTGACAGTAGCCAGGCTTATTCTAGATGACAAGTGCAAAAATCTATAAAAGAACTCTGCACAGGAAAATTCAGGACAACGTGGAAAAATAAATCAGGAATGCTCCGAAATCAATGAATCTAGCACATGATAGGTGAAACATCTGAATATTTAGGGTTATAAGAAGGTAACCATAGTACAAAGCCCAACTATGTAGTATAAACATACAGGACTGATCTTCAGTAGGCTCAGTCGGGGATTGGTAACATTTTCCAAAGGGGCACTACACTATATAAAGAGCAACAGCCACTGCCAAGGACTGCAGTGATGTTTGTTTCTGGCTTAGCTCTGTCTTCATTCCCCCATGACTGTGAGCTCATGCTACTCTACGAATCTGACCCGGTTAATTACTCGGTTGAATGGATTCTTACTATGTTCCGTTTTTCATTTCATACTCAGTTCTCTCTTATTAAAAAAGAAGTTAAGGCAGAACAACAGCTTACTCAGTATGTGGTGTGTCCCAGGCATGGCTTGATGTGATTCACGTTTCTATCTAATCCTCAGAGAATCTGATCATCTATTATTATACACACTACAAAGATTAAAACATAGATCAAGTACCTGCACAAGGTACCACAACCATTACATGGTAAATCTAGGGTTTCCAGGATTCTCTGGCTCTGGAACTGATATTTTAATCACAAGACTAAACTAGAACACTTCAAATTCTATTAGAGAAGCAATAAAGTTTCTATAATTTATAGCTCATATACGCTAAACACTTTATAATACTTTCACCCTTAGCACTGAAACTTTTTCTTCTCATGACAAAATTCTCCTTAGGGAGGAGACCTAACTGATTTCATTT